GCTAAGCCCCCACAGCCATTATTGAGTGGAGAAATTGTGGAGAAGGGGATTGACAACCTTACTCACTACCACCAGCAATGACTGCTGTCCCACTGCTACCAGCTCCCATGCAGATCAGCATGGGAGAACAGGAAGTGATAAGACCTTTCTAGACCACCAGTCCAGCCCTTATAGCCATCATTTAGGGAAGTCAGCCAACCAGTTTCTGAAGGATATGGCTGATAGAAGACATTGCCTTAATCCTTGGGGCACATGCTCCCAAATCTTGGTCAGGACTCCACCCAACTAAGAGAAAAAAGAATCTAGTCTAAGTAAATTCTTGCCCTGAAAGAATAAGCTCATTTCCTTGCACCATTCCATTGGAGTTTAGGGTGACCCAGCTCATGAAGGAAAAAACCAACTAGAGTGGTCTGGGTGGACATGGATTCCCCTGTCCAGATTGCTGGAAGTGGCTGAGTCTCAAGGCCAAAATGTTCCCAGGAGGAGGAGCTGAAGACTTCTAGCTCACCTCCTCATTTAAATGTACACCACTTAGGGTTGATTTCTTCTGTCAGGAGCATTACCTTTCAAAAAAAAATATTTAAGGCATTCAGCATCTCAATTAGGAGTCTTTGGTTACTGAGAGAAACCACTGACCATCAATTTATTGATTGTTAGCTTAATTAACAAATAAGTTATTAATTACCCAGAAACTCTGTCTCTTGGGTTTTTCATTTATCTCACCTCAGACCCTTAATGGAGACAGCCCTGGACTCTGAGCCCAAGAGCCTTGAGAAAGTAACACTTATCTCTGCACCCTCAGCCATCCTCCTGGAAAGCAGCCCCTCTGGAAATTCAGCCTGGCCACTGCTCCTGCAGGTGCTATAGCCACAGATATCGAAGACCTAAGAAGGGAAGTCCTTGACACCATCAACTAGTCTAACACCAGAAACAGATATGATTTTTATCAGTCAAAATGATATTATAGAAGAGGCATCACCAACCTCTTTGCCTTTGCAACTGTCTTGTAACTGAAACCTTCCATGTGTTGTCTCCTACATTAGAATATGAGCTCGAGAGCAGAGACTGTCTTCCCCATTTTTATCCTTACTGCTTTGCACATAGTAAGTACTTAATAAATGCTTTTTCATTCATTTGTTAATTATTGTTAATGGTTTAATCCCCATTCTAGTGTGTTCTCCTCAATATCAATTATCACTGATTAGTGCCCCAGTACCATTCAACAAAAGAATATCAATTAGCTTTTAGATAAGGGATATTTACTGTGAATATATAGCAAGAACAGAGGCACAAACACATTCCTCTGAGCCAGGACATATACTCTTTTCTATACCACCTTAGCTCCTGCGGACAGTGGGCTCAAACTTTAATAAAGCATTTACCCCCACCAAGTTCACTTCCAAATGTGGAAGAGCAGGTGGATAAGTTAGCACTACTCCCTTGTGGCTACTTTTCTTCTATTGTCATTCTGGGTGAAGCAGATCACCTGATTCAGCTGTACAAAAAATCTCCTGTGTATTCTAGCTCTGGGAGCTCTGCTGGCTCCCAACATCATAGTTTTGCGAAATACTCCACCCCTGATGAGCAAGAGAGAGCAAATGCAAAGAGACAGAAAAAGCCATGTCACGTGTTTGTGGTGGGGAGCAAAAAGCCCAAGGTCCATTTCCCTACCCAGAGGCTTACAGTGCTCCTCACTCAAATGCAGCCAGGAAATAGATGAAATCATCTGGTTAGTTCCTTTTGTAAGCATTTTCAGTTCAACAAGCATTTGCCATGCATCTTTTATGTATCAGGCTTGGTTCCTGGCAATTAGGCTACAAAATATCAGAATGAGACAATCTCTTCCCTCAAGGGGCTTACATCCTACCCATTGCTCCTAATGGTTGTACTCACCTTGGTTCATCTATGTGGGAGCTAGAAGAGCGGGTATTGAAGGTAGAAGTTTTCACACGTTTTATAGGCAGACTTAGAATGAGAAGTCCTGGATTTGGAGCCAGAAGCTTTGAATTTTTGCTACATATTCCCTGTGTGATGTTAACTGAGGCACTTTCTGGGCCTCAGTTTCCTTCTCTGTAAAATGAGAATGTTGGACTAGATGACTTCAAAGATCTCTTCCTTCTCTAAATCTAGGCTTGCCATGTTGGGGGTGTGGTGGGTATGTCCCATACCTTGAAATTTGTAACTGTTAATTATTGGATTAAAACACCTTCTGATTTTTATGAATGCTATAATCCACATCATTAAACTTCAACACACATGACCTATTTGAATTTAAGTCAGAGGAAAGGTGTATTAAGATAATTTTAGAATTCTTTGTAAGACCCCACTTTCTTCTGGTTTTCCTCCTACCCATCTGCCTACTCCTTCTCTATCGCTTTTGCTGGGTACTCATCCAGATCAAATGATTTCATTTGGTGATCACACCAGCTTCCATGGAGTTAATTATGATCTCTGCGCTTCTGATTCTCAGATCTGCCACTCCTGGCCCAATCATTCTGCTGACCTTCAGTCTTGTACCTCCAACAGACACCTCAAACTGGATGGCCAGTAGACATCTTAAACCCAATATGTTCAGAATAGAGCTCATTGTCTTTCCCCCTAGACTTTTTCCCCTCCTACCTTCCCTGTTACTATAGAGAGAAGCACCATCCTCCCAGTCCCAGAGGCTCACAGCTCCGCAGTCATCGTGGACTCCTCATTATCTCTCATCCCCCATATCCGAGCTGTTGCCACAGCCTGTCCATTTCACCTTTGCAGCATTTCTCCATTATGCTTCTTTTTCTCTTCTGACACTGTTATCCATCCAGTGCAGACTGTTATTGCCACACACCTTGATTACTTCAATGGCATGCTGGTGGGTCTACATACCACAAGCCCCAGCTCCAATCCATTCTGCTACTAAAATGATTTTCCTAACATCCAACTGTGTAATTCTGCTACTCAACAAACTCCAGTAACACCCTATTTATTGCCCCCTGGAGCAAATACAAATTGCTCTGTGTGGCATTCAAAGTCCCTCATGATCCAGGCTCCTCCTGCCTTTCTGATTTTCTTACACCTCCCTTCTCTCCACATACTCTTCGATCCAGTGACACTGGTCCATTTGCTGTTCTATGAACAAAAAGTTCCATCTTTTGGTTCCAGGTATTTTTTTTTCTGGCTGTGTCTCCTAGAGTACTCTCCCTTCCCCACTCCAATGACTGACCTTTCTGGCTTTCTTTAGTCCCAACTAAAGTCCCACCTTCTATGGGAAGCCTTTCCCAATCCTTCTTAACTCCAGTGCCTTCCTTCTGTTAATTATTTCTGATTTATCTTGTATACAGTTTTGTACATATTTGTTTGCATAATGTCTCTCACATTAGATTGTGAGCTCCTTGAGAACAGTGATTGTCTTTTGCCTCTTTTTGTATCCCTAGCACTTAGCACAGTGCCTGCAATGTAGCAAGTGCTTAATAAATGTTTGCTGATTTGTTAATTGACAATGAAGGGGAATGGGGCCATTGAAAAAAGCACTGAATTCACAGCAACATCATGGAGTCTTCTAATCTGAACATTCTTCCACTGAGCAATGGGAAATACTGATTTTTTATCACTTATAAAAGAGATTCAGGGGTCTTTTTGCACAAAAAATGTTTCCATAGACTGCATAGAATGAGCTGTTATTGACAGTCAGACATTTATCCTTCTTGAAACTTCCTTTGTAGTTAACATACACAAAAGTAAATGTGCTATAGTTGATAAGGGTACTGAACTTTGGGACAGGAAAAGCTGGCTTCAAATCCTAGCTCTGATACGTTCTAGCTATATGATCCAAGGCAAGTCATCGAATGTCTCTGAGTCTCAATTTCCTCATCTGTAAAGTGGGGATAGCAGTACATGCAGATCTCTTTTGAGGCTCAAATGAGAAAATGAGGCCTAGTATTTTGTTCAAATGAATGAATTTATGCCTATAAAGTGCTTTGCAAACCTTGAAGCACTGTATAAAAGCCAGCTATAATATTGTTCAGGAGAGATATGTGTGGAGGAGAAGACGAATCAAACAGATTGTGTATCAAGAAAAGAAATATCATGGTAAAATGTTTTGCTCACACTCCTTTGTATGAGCACACCTAACTCTGGGAAAATACAATCTTCCTCTCAAAGTTCTCTTTTCAATAGGACAATGGAGAAGAAAACAAAATTATCTGACTGACAGAACCACAGGGTTATGTGTTATGAGTCACGTGAAAAAAAAAAAACAACTCCAAACCCCAAATCCTAGCATTCGGTTTAATAGGAACCCAACCAATCCAGAGCTTTATTAAACACAACATTGACACCAGGAGAAAGTGCAAACCTTGCCCGGGAAGGAAAGCTGCCAGGAATACAGTAATTCTCTGGCTTTTTCTCTGGTATTTATAAATTTCATTCTCTGCAAATGTCAGCAAGCCTCTGAATGGGCTGTTGAAATTCACAATTGGGAATATTTGCAGCTGGATGGTGAAATAAACTAGGAGTTACCAGATGTTGACTAGGCACACTCCATTATGACCCCATTCACATCTGTCTTGACCTTTTTGGAGGCAGAATGATGCATTGCCCTATTCTCACCTTCATTTTGTTCAGTCTGTACTGAATCCAGTCCAAGTACAGCTCTGTGGAAGGTTCAGATACAAAGACAATGTGAAATAGTTCCTGCCCTCAAAGAACTCACAATCTTCCAATGTAGAAAAAGAGGGAGCCAAGTAAAATGTCTTCCCAATGGGGAGACTAATTATGTGACAAGGGAAGGAGTCAAAGCCAGGGTCTCTATCTCTAAATCCCAGGCTCTTTCTATTATTCTTTTCTTGAAGGGGTTCGGATTTGCAGAAGTTAGCTGTCTCTGAGGAGTAAGTGTGCCTCTACTCAGAGGAAGCCACAACACAACCAAGTTTAGAAAGAAGAAAGAGAACCCAAGACCTGAATCTGAGAAATTTATTTAAAATGATTTTTTCATTTTATATCACTTCCATTTCCAGATATGTCCCCCCCTCCCCTATTTAGAGAACCACTCCTTATAACCAAGGGAAGAAAAAAAAAGAAGAAAAAAAATCAGCCAAATTCACTGGTACATTTTTTTTTTGTATGATAGGATATGTAGTCTTCCACACTCATGCACCACACCTCTGCAAAGAATTACATTTTCATATTTGTTCTTTGGAAACAACTTTAGTTATTATAATTAAAGTTTTTAAGAGTTTTAATTGTTGTCTTCATTGTTATTTCCAATTATGTTGTTATAATTATGAACATCATTTTCCTGATTCTGCTTATTTCCTTCTGTATCTGTTCACATAAGTCTTCCCATGGTTCTCTGAATTTTTCACATTTATTGCTTCTTATAGTAAGGAAATATGCCATCATATTGATGTACCCCAATTAGTTTTGTCATTTTCCATTGAATGGGAATCTACTTTGTTTCTAGATGAATATTATTTCATTAATAATCTTAGAATGTCCATTAGGCCCAGTCTCAGAATCAGAATCTCTACCTCTCAGATGTATCATATGACCATAAAATCCCAGCACCTTCCAGAGAATGGACTCAAGGACGAGATGATGAGGCAAGAAGTTTGATACCACAGAGAAGTAGCTCCCACAAGCCTCTTATTCAGTCATTTTCCTTCCTTTTGTTAAATATTCTTTTCTCTCACTATGCATTCTGCCCATTTTCCTCTTAATCCCTTCAAACCAAGTCCAGCCTTCTCCCCTAGCCTCTAATCTAAGGAACAAATAAGTGCTAGAACTAGATTTTTACAATTGCAGGATAAAGATGAAAGGATTCTTCTTTGCAGAAGTGGAGAACAATGGATGTGGAACTGTTGGAAGTGGCTGATATGCTGGTCAGTTTTACTAAAGTAGCTCTTTCTCTTTCTCTCTCTGGTACAAAGAATGGCTTGTTGGGTAGGGATAGGAGAGGGATGCATTTAGAAATCAAAGGGATGCAGAATTTAAAAATATAAACAAAGCATTAAAGGAACAATAAAAAAGAAAGTGGAGAGCTCCAACAAGCCCTTTTGCAAATGATCTCACCAAGACTAGACCCTTGAATGTCTTGTACAACTGAGGCAGCTGCAGTTGTCTGGATCAGAAGTGGCTTCCAAGGACTTGAGCACAGTCCTTTCTCCTTCCTGCACAGAAAGGGTGGGATTCACATGAAAGGAAGCCATCTCTGCAAGAACAAGTGCCATTAATGCTGAGAAGATCATTTTATCTCATCATCTCATCTCATGTCATCTGATTTTGTATTATTATATTACATTATATAGCATCAGATCATTCTATACTATATCATACCATGTTATATTATTTTTATTGTTATGTTAGAGTATAATATATTGCATTAAATTATTTGCATTGTGTTATTATGTATAATTTTTGTTATTTTATTAATGCATTTTGCTTTTATATCACTTTCATTTAAAAAAAATCCACACTTTTTTTCTTCTCTAAACAGCCATTCCATATAATAAATTTTTAAAAAGGGAAATAAAAGTTCAGTAGAACCAGCCATTCCACTAATTAAGCCTAATATTATCTGTATTATTCCAAATCCATAATCCCCCATCCTTGCAAAAAAAAAAGAGTGAAGGAATAAATTTCCTTATCTTTTCTTAGGGACAGACCAACATTATGATTATACAACATTTAGTTTGCTGTTGTTTTTGTTATTTCTACTTACATTATTGTAGTCATTATATATGTTTCTTTCCTGCCTCTGCTTACAGTTATTCTGTATATGCTTATATATCTTTCCATTTTCCTCCCTATTCTTCCCATTCATCATTTTTTAAAATCACAGCAATATTTCATCACAATTAGCTAAATGGCACTGCAATGGATAGATTGTTAGTCTGGAGTCAGGCAGACCTGAGTTCAAGTCCAATCTCAAATGCTTTCTAGCTGTGTGACCCTGGGCAAATCATTTAACCTCTGTCTGCCTTAGTTTCCTCAACTATAAAATAGGGATAGTAATAGCACCTACCTTGGAGGGTTGTTCTGAGGATCAAATGGAATAACATTTGTACTAAAGGGCTTAGCACATTGTTCGGCACATAGTAAGCACTTAATAAATGCTTATTTAATCTATTCCATCCATTCATATGCCACAGTTTATTTGGGCATTCCTTAACCAATAGATATCTATTTTGTTTCCAGTTATTTCCAACTACAGGAAGTGCTACTGTGATTATTTCGACATCTATTGGACCATTTTTTCTATATTTAACCTCCTTGCAGCCTATCTGAATAAGATTTTACAAATACTTTGTTGACTCTCTTCTCAAAATTCTAAATTGTTTTCCAGAATGGTTGAACCAACTTACAGTTCTACCAAGAGTGCATTAGGGAGCCTGTCTTTCCACAGTCCCTCCAGCATTGACTCTTCCTATCTTTACTAATTTGCTAGGTTTCCCAAGAAACACTTTATTTGCATTTCACTTACCTTTGTTGATTTTGGAACATCTGATTGTTGGTAGATTACAACTCTTCCTTTGAGAGCTGTTTGTTCATGTACTTTGATCCACTGGAAGAAGGTAACACCAAGCAGTCTCTCTTTCTATAGGTATCCTTAGTCAGTTAACAACCACTGATTGAGCAGTATGTACACGGACTCTGCTAAGAGCTGGGAATACAAAGAAAGGAGGAAAAAGGATCCTTGAGTTCAAGGAACCCACATTCTAATGGGGGAGATAACTGCAAACAACTATGTGCATGAAGATGTAGGCAGATAGGTGGCATTACAAAGTATAGAGTGCAGGGCCTGAAGTCAGGAAGACTCATATCTGAGTTCAAATCCTGCCTCAGACTTAGTAGCTGTGTGACCCTGAGCAAGTCATTTCACCCTGTTTGCCTCAGTTTCCCCATCTGTAAAATGAACTGGAGAAGGAAATGTCAAGCCACTTCAGTATTTCAGCCAAGAAAACCCAAATGGGGTGATGAAGAGTCAAATTAAACTGCAGCACATGCATAAAGACATATACAGTATAAGTGTAAATTAATCTCAGAAGGAAGGCATTAATAGTGGATGAGATGGGGACAGACCTCCTGTAGAAGGGAGATTTGTGCTTTCTTGAAGGAAGCCAGGAAAGTCAGAAGGAGGAAGTGAGAAGGAAGATAATTCCAGACATGAGGAACAGCCTGTGAAATTGCACAGAATTGGCAAATGAAGTGGCTTGTGCAAGGGACAGCCAGGAAGTCATCGTAATTGGATCTCAGAGTAAGTACATGGAGGGTTTTGTGGTGTAAGAAGACTCCAAAGGTAGGAAGGGGTCAACTTTTGAAGAGCTTTAAATGCCAAACAAAGGAATTGATCTTTGAGGTAAAAGGGAATCAATGGCTTTTATTAAGTAGGGGAGTGACACAGTCAGACCTGTACTTTAGGAGATTGACTGGTGCTACGGAAAGTTGGATTGTAGAGGGAGAGACTTAAGGCAGGGAACTCAATCAGCAGACTAATATGACAGGCATAAGGTGATGAGGGCCTGGCAGCTGTGTTAGGTCAGAGGAAGGGATTTAGAAGAGAGATGTTGCGGAGGTAGAACAGACGAGATTTGCCATCAAATTGGATATGTGTGGTGAGTAAAAGTGAGCAGTCACAGATGATACTAGAGTTCTAAGCCTGGGTAACTGGGTGGGTGCAGGTATCCTGGGCAGTAAGAGGCAAGTTGGGATGAAGGATGATTTTAGGAGGAACAAAAATGAATTGTGTTTTAGATATGTTGAGCTTGAGTGCCTCCACGACATTCAAGTTGAGATGGCCAAAAGACAAATGGTGTTACAAGCTTGGAGCCCAAGCAAAAAGAATAGGGCCATTGTATAGATCTGGGTCCCTCTGCATAGAAATGAGAATTTAGTTCATGTGAGCTGATGCAATTATTGAGAGAGATAGGTAGAGTAGAGCAGGGATTCTTAACCTTGGGCAGTCTGGTGAAGTCTTCTCAGAGTCAAATTTTTTAATGCATAAAATAGAATTCATAGAGTTACAAAGAAAAGAAATTATATCAAAATACAGTTATCAAAATATATTTTAAAAATGTGTTTTCAGATTCTAGGTTAAAATGTGCTGGTATGGGGACAGCTAGGTAGTGCAGTGGATGGAGGACTGGCCTTGGATTCAGGAGAACCTGAGTTCAAATCCAGCCTGAGACACCTAACACTTACTAGCTGTGTGACCCTGGGCAAGTCACTTAACCCCATTGCCTAGCCAAAAAAAAAAAAGATCTGCTGGTATGGAAGGAAAAGAGAAGTCAAGAATCACAGGACAGACTTTTGGAGAACACCTTAGTGGGCCCCCTTGAATGAAGGTATAGAAAAGAATACAGAGAAAGAATGATTAGACAAGTAGGAAGAAAATAAGAGAGAACATTGTCACAAAAACCTGGAGAAGATAGAGTATTCTGGAGGAGGGAGATTGACAATGTCGAAGGTGGCAGAGAGATCAAGACAAATGAAGGTCAAGAAAAGGTCATTGGATTTGGCAAGTAAGAGATCCTTGGTAACTTAGAGAATAATTTCAGTTGAATGATGGAGGTGGTAGCCAGATAGTGGAGGGTTTAGAAGAGGGAGAGGAGAGGAAGTGAAGGCACCAATTGTAGATTTTGTCAAGGAGTTCAGCCACAAGGGGGAGGAGAGATATAAGACAATAGCTGGCAGGGATGGTTGCCATGTCTGAATTATGCAAAAGGAACATTTATAAAATTAGCATTAGGAGGCTTTCCTATAGGCACAGTCTTATTTCTAGGGCTTTCATTATCAAATGTTATTCATAGTATTAGATTTTTATCATCATTATTGCAGGCAGAAAAGGTGCCAAACTTCAGAAGACCTGGGTTCAGACTCTATCTGCTTCAGGTACCTTAACGGATCACAAAACTAACACTGAAAGGTCATTCAAAGGTTATCCAGTCCAATCCCATCATGTTATAGATGAGGAAACTGAGTCTCTGAAAGAGGAAGCAACTTGCCTAGGGCAGAGCCAAGAGTTGAGCCTGCAGTCTCTGGCTCTAAATCTAATGTTCTTTTCACTGCCCCATACTACCAAGCATAGTTGAGTCACTTTAACCTCGATTTCTTCATCTACAGAATGGGCAGAACATATGTTTATCATTCACCTCACAGGATGGTTGTGAGACAAATCTTCCACAAATCCTGAAGGGTTATGAAGCTGGGAGTTACAATTAAATGATAAATGTCTTCTAGAAGCTATGAGAGGGTATAGTGGACAGAGTGCTGGACCTGTAGTCAGGAAGATTTGAGTTCAACTCTGGCTTTAGACACTTACTAGTTTTGTGACCCTGATCAAGTCACTTAACCTTTGTCAGTCTTGGTTTACTTGACTGTAAAATGAAGAACATTATAATAGCCTCTAACTCCTAGAGTTGTCATCAAATGAAATAATATTTGTAAAGTCCTTGGCACACTGCCTGGCACATAGTAGGTACTAAATAAAGGCTCCTTTCCTTCCTTCTTTATTTTCCCAATATGGGGTCAATATCATCAATCAATCAACAACCATTCATTAAGTGCTTATATTACACAAGACTCTATGCCAGATGTTAGGAATGCCAAGGAAAAAATCAAACAACCTCTGCCCTCAAGGTACTTACGCTTGATCAGAAGAGACCAAATATGCATATGTAGGAATATTAAAGTCAATACAAAATAGATACAAAATGATAGGGTGGAGGCATGAGCAGCTTGAATAATAGAAAAATCAAGTAGACTGAGATTCTGCAACTGATTCTTGAGGGAACCTAGGGGGACTAAGAGTATGGATAGATGCAAGCCATCAATTGCATTTGATGAAATTCAATTCAATTTTTAGTGGTTGGGTTGAATGAGTAAGTCTTTTTGGGGGGAAAGGAGGGGAGGGGTGGATGGGTCTGGTGATTAGAAGACCTAGACAACTAATTGAATCAGTCAGTCAAGAATATAAACAAAGTGGAAGCACGTCTTAAATCAAATGGAAAGGAATACATGTTTTGATCACTAAATAAAGACAGATGATGATATATAGGAAATATTATGATTGGTTGAAAAAATCAGATACACCTCTGCATCTGTTTATACATGGCGAGCTGGTTACTCTTGGAGGAGATCCAGCCAAGCCCTGAGAGAGGATTCCTTGGAAGGAGGAGAGACTATGTGATTTTGGAACCTTCAGCAAAGTCATCAGAGGTCCTATAAGGGAATAGAAAAAATAACAGTGGTCACCAGAGGGACAGAGGCTGAAAACAAAAGTGTCTGTCAATAGATAATGGAAGTTCAGAGAGTGAGACCTCTCATGGCAGGTATGGGCCCTAGAAAGGCAAGCAGAGGGCTATACTTAGGAAGAATTTCACGAGGCCATTATGAAGGGGTACTACCTGCTCTTCGGCCACAATGGCTCCCTTCATGTGTGTTTAATATAACTGTACAAGGAATTTAAGTCCAAACTCCTATGGTCCTTGTGTGTGCAAGAGGAGGATATGTCCCTGGTTTGGGGGTTGGAATTGGGGGAGGGAACTGTTTCTGTAGCAAGTAAATATCTTTTTTAAAAGCCATTAAAGTCTGGTTTATAATCACTGGGAAGCACACTGGTGGGGGCTTGTGAACAACAGGTAGAAGAAGTCCCATTAATCCTTGGGATCACTCCAGAATTGTTAGGAGTAGTAGTTAGTTATCCACCATTTGGGAACCTGATCTACTACTTGGAATGGGAGTTGGAGAAGGAGCCCTGAGGGATAGGTTCTGTCAAAACTTGTTATTGTTTATAATTTTTGGACCCCATTTGGGGTTTTCTTGGCAGAGATATTGGAGTATTCCTTCTCCAACTCATTTTACAGATGAGGAAACTGAGGTAAATAGGGTAAAATGACTTGCTTACACGAACAAGTCAGGGGTCACACAGCTGAGTGTGAGTAGCTGAGGCCTAATTTGAACTCGGGTCTTCCTGACTATAGGCCCAGTGATCTATCCACTGAACCACCTAGAAGCCCATACTAAAACTGCATGATAACCAATACAAATTAAAACAGGTCTGCGGTACCACATCACACATATCAGATTGGCTAACATGACAAAACAGGAAAATGATAAATGTTGGAGAAGATGTGGGAAAATTGGAATGCTAATACATCGTTGGTGGAGTTGTGAACTGATCCAACCATTTTGGAGAGCAACTTGGAACTATGTCCAAAGGGCTATAAAAATGTGCATATCCTTTGACCCAGCAATACTACTTCTAGGGCTATATCCCAAAGAGATCATAAAAATGGGAAAAGGACTCACATGTACAAAAATATTGATAACATCTTTCTGTGGTGGCAAAGAATTGGAAATTGAGGGGATGCCCATCAATTGGGGAATGACTGAACAAGTTGTGGTATATGAATGTAATGGAATACTATTGTGCTATAAGAAATGATGAGCAGGCAGACTTCAGAAAAAACCTGGAAAGACTTGCAAGGACTAATGCTGAGTGAAGTGAGCAGAACCAGGAGAACACTGTACACAGTAACAGCCACATTGTGGAATGACTAACCTTGATAGACTTAGCTCTTCTCAGCAATGAGAGGATCTAAGACATCTCCAAAAGTCTCATAATGGAAAATGCTATACACATCCAGAGAAAAAACTATGGAGTCTGAATGCAGATCGAAGCATACTGTTTGCTCTTTTTTTTAAAAATCCTGTTTTATTTTGTTTCTTCTTTCTTGTGGTTCCTTCTATTGGTTCTAATTCTTTCTTACAACATGACTAATGTGAAACTATGCTTAACAGGAATGTATATGTAGAGCCTATATCTGATTGCACACCATCTTGGGGAGGGGGAGGGGAGGAAGGGAGGAGAAAATTTAAAACTCAGAAGCTTATGGAAGCGAATGTTGAAAACTAAAAATACATAAATTAATAAAAAATAAACTGCATGATACCAAATAACAAGTACAACTTTGTCTTTTGCTTTTCAAATTTTTAATTGCTAGTTTCTTGAGAGACAAAATAGTATGAATGATAGAGGGTTGGCTTTGCAGTCTTAGGGACCTCGGTTCAAGTCACACCTCTGATCCATTCTAGCTGTGGGGCATGTGTAAGTCACCATACCTCTCAATGACCTAGGCAACTCTGAGAGTAGATGTTGATCTGCATTGGTGAAGGAGGTTTTTATACCAGGAGCTCCCTGCACTGATGCAATCACAGTCTCAGATTTTAAAAAATTATTTTGCTTCTGTCCCCACTTTGATTCTCAGCCAGCCCCTTCCAAAGCTCACTCAAAGGGCAAAGCTTACCTTGTCAAAAATGTAACTGTAGTAGATAAAATGATTTTTCCCCTTTTCCAAACTGAATGTAGCCTCTTTTTTTAGTGACATCTTTACTCACTTTTCTTTTTTAAAATTAATTTAGATCCTGGCATTGCTGAGAAGAGCTAAGTCTATTAATGTTAGTCATCGCACAACAGGTTACTGTGAACAATGGTTCTCCTGGTTCTGCTCACTTCACTCACCATCACTTCACTCACTTTTCAACCATACATTCGGAAAGACCTGGTTATTGCCCCCTCTGGAAAAAGACTCAGTTGAAGGTCGTTAGAAGTCCTTAACAACAGAGCTGGGCACCGCCCCTCTAAGGCTTCTTGGGAAGTTGAGAAAAAGAAATCTGAGTTACCAGACAGAGATTTAAAATTTCTGCAGTATTACTAGAAGGCTTAGGACAGGATTGAAAAAAAAACCCTAAAAGTGAACTTCTTAGGCATGATTTGTTTCCCTGGACTACAGAGTGAAGTTCTTCGGCACAAGGAACTCTCAGGTTTTTGGGGAAAGCTCCCAAACCACTCTTTTTGTTTTGCCTCTTACCATCTGAAGAGATTTTGGAAGGTTGTGGGCTTAGGCGTCTGCTGTCTTTGCATTGTCTTCTCCATTCTCATCAAGCCACTTTGTTTCAAAGTTATACAGAGATACCCCTGCAATGGAGTGAACTCTTAGACAGCTTCTGAAGAAGATCACAGCACCTCAGAGAACATCTAACCCAACCCCGGTGTTTCATAGGTGAGCAGAGTGATGGACCGGAAGTTCCTAAATCACGGACATAGAGTTGGAAGGCACCGTGCATGCCACCTAGTGCGCTTCTCTCATTTTACAGAAGAGGAGACTGAGGCCAGACAGGCTCACCGAGTCTGAACACGATCATGCATTTGTCGTTCATTTGCTGAACACCTGTTGTGTGACAGACACGGTGTACTAGGCACCTGGGATATAACGAAAGGCCTTACGCTCGAGGTGCTGATATTGCTGCACAGTTTTAAGTAGCATTTCTTCCCATAACCTCATCCCCCAGCTGTTGCAGCTGTTTCACTTTTATCTTTCTCTGAGCAGCCCCTTGCACAGAGCCTGGAAGAAATGTACAAGTCCTTAATCAATGCTTATTGATTGATTGGATGTAGAGGTAGTTACGGAGTGCCAATTCCGGTGCCACTTTCCCTATACCCCATGTAATTTAGAAATTATGGGGGAAATAACACCCCCTGCGACCTCAAAGCTGTAGCTTGTGGGGCAGTGAAACTCCCCGCGGGACAACTTGTGGCCCCCCGAGGGAAGTTGTGTGTTTTTGGAGTCTGAGCCAGGGCAGAAGAACTTGAAGCAAACCAGAGCCCCGAGGACTGAACGACCTCGTCTCACTCTGCCTGGCCTTCCATTCCCAGTCCCAGATGGTGCAGGGTGTCCGCCGGGGATGTGTGCTCGTGAGTGTGGCGGTGGGCTGTGTGTGAGCGTCAGCGTGAGTTAGAGAGGAAGCGTCAGCAGTGTTTGAGGTCCCCGCTGCGCTCCGCTCGTCAGGCTGGCTCCGGGGCTCCGGGGTGTCCCCGGAGGCGGTCAGTGAGTCGCCAGGAGCTGCAGCAGCAGCAGCAGCAGCAGCAGCAGCTGGCGCCCGGCTCCGGGCTCCGGGGTGGGGTACAGGAGCTGGGTGAGCCAACACTCCTACTGCGCGCTCTGGAAAGGCTCCGTTCAGATGGTCCCGTGTGTGCATATGTGTGCGTGCGTGTCTCTGAGTGTGCATGTGTCTGAGTGTGTGCGCGCCTGTATGTATTTCACTGGCTCCCAAAGAGTTGTCAGGAAGTTAGGGGGGAGGGGCGAGCCTCGCGCCCCGGACTTATAACGGGCCGTCGGGGGCGGCGGAGGCGACTGCAGCGTAGAGGAGGGCTGCTGGCCGAGTGAGGGCCGCTCCAGGTTTAGCTGCTGGAGGGAGGAGGGCAGGGAGGTAGCTGGCCAGGGCAGCCCTAGGCGGCTGCAGGCGGGACCGCCCCGTCGGGGCACCTATCGGGCTGCCCAGCCCTCTGTCCCTCGGTGCAGAGCGCAGCCGTCAGTGGCGGGCTGGCCGGCCGCGGGGCCATGGAGCCGCTGGTGCTGCTCAATGCTCTGGCCACGCGGCTGCTCTTCGCGCTTCACTCTCTGGTGGGCGTCTGGCGGGTGACCGAGGTGAAGAAGGAGCCCCGTTTCTGGCTGCTGGCACTGCTGCATCTTCCCCTCGTCCTGGAGACGGCGCTCACGCTGAAGAGGCGCCGAGGCCGAGGCTACCCTGGGTGAGTCCCCACCGCCCCACTCGATGTCCTCCGCAGCTCCCACTACCCCCGCAACAGCCATTCCCACCGGGGCCTCCCAGATCACCCTGACCGTCTCGGGTGGGAGCCTCCGCGTCCAGCCTGAGATGGCAAAAAGGCGCAGAGACGTGGCTGACCCAGTGCGTAGTAGCGCGTCCCTGGCTCCCTCACCTCGCTCCCACATCTCGGCTGGAGACGCAGGGGCGCACGAGGGAGCCCCTGGACTCAGGTTTGCGAATGCTCCCAGGAGGCAAGAGGGGGTTCAATGACCCTGCTGCAGGAAAGGCTCTTGTTCTGTCCCCGCTTCAAGAAGAGGAGGGATTGTGTTCTTGTTTCCTGAGTTTAGAGCTCTCTCTCAATCAATCAGTCAATCAATCTCTCTCTCTCTCTCCTCCTCCCTCTCCTTCTGTCTCTCCCCCTTTTTTCTTCCCTTTTTTCTGTCTCCTTTCTGTCATTCATTTCTTTCCTTTCTTCCTTTCTCTCTCCCCGCTCTGCTGTCCTCCCCCTTTTCTTTCCTTCTTTTTCTTTCTCCTTTTTACTCTCTACTCTCTTTTCCTCTTTTCTCTCTCCTTTCTTCCCTCTTTTCTCTTTCCCCTCTCCTCTCTTTTTTTTTCCTCCTTCCCTTCTTTCTACTTCTCACTTTCTTAGTTTTTTTGGCTTTTTCACAAACTCTCTCTTTTTTCTTTCTTTTTCCTCCAGCTCTCTCTTGAATCCCTCCTTCTTTCTTCCTTGAATTCTTGCATACCAGCCTAGTTGCAGGAAACAGGAAAAGGAAAGCATGTGCTTTGAGAAAGTTGCTTGGGTTAGAAAGCCGAGTCAGGGCAGAAGCAGATTCCTCTGCTGGGCACTGGCTGTCCCTGGCTTCCCTATCATGCTCTCTGGGGACTAGGCATCCGGTCCCTTTGGACATTGCTCGGGATTTTTACTTGGCTTCCCCCCAGTTAATCATAGCAGAGTAACTCAGGGTCTCTGTGCTTTACTATCCTCCCTGGGAAGCCCGGGTCTCCTTTCCTACAATTAGGCTTCATCCTCCACATATTCTGCTCCTTCCAACTTGAACGGCAGTGAATAGGCTAAGAGAGAATTCTTCGACTGTTTACATGCCTTCTGCCTCTAATCTGTTTTAATCTCAAACTTTTTCAGGGTCTTAAATTGCCTACCATTTCAATGATTTTTATTTGTATTTTTAAACTAGAAAAAATCACATAGTCATTTCCCTCTTTCTGTCATGTGGATTGGCTTTTAAATATCTACTTTGTTAAAATTTCAAAATGTAGAAGCCATGGATGGGCTCTCAGGGAATTCTCAGAGTTCTGGCTTTTACATTTTGAAATTTAAAAGAACAGTAAACATTTAAAAGTCAATGTGCATGACAGAAAGAGATTAGAAGAGAATGACTGGTGAATATACTTATTTGGTTCATTGGAATGGCAGGTATGGCATGGTGGAAAGTGGGTGGTGGCCTGGATTTGGAATTACAGGGCCTGGGTTTGAATTCTATTTCTGCCACATGCTAGCTGTGCCTCTTTGAATAGGTCACTGGGCTTGTCTGAGCCTCTTATTCCCTCATGGATAAATAAGGGGGCTGGACTGGATCATCTCCAAGTCGCTGCCAGCTTGGAATCTATCATTTCTTTCTGTGCTCTTATTTTTCACAAGATGCCATCCCAGGCCATTTTCAAGGTTTAAACTTGACTTAATGCTGTGGTGATCAGAACTTCCTTTCTAATGTCAGTAGGGTGTTACATTTGGTCTGCCCTGGCTGAAGTGTCATAGGTGTAGACCTTGGGGGAGGGAGACGGGTCAGAGAGTTCATCCAGGTGAGCCTTCTCATTTTATCAGTGAGGAAACTGGGACCTCCAACAGTGAAGGGCCTTATCAGAGAATCCTCTCATATCACACAGAGCTGAATTGGCCAGTTCTTAGAGCCATCTCATTTTATAGATGAGAGGTTAAGTGATTTTCCCCAAGTCACACAGGTACTAAACTGCAGAATTGACAGTTGAATGCAGGTCTTCTCATTCCAAATCCAAGCTTCCCACTACAACACAAAACCTTGTAGAACCCATGTTTGGAATCCTCAAAGAGAAAAGCAATTAGCTGCATAAACAAGTTTTAGGGTTAAAGAAACAAATGGAAAGAAATGGGTGTGTGTGTGTGTATGTGTGTGTGTGTGTGTGTGTGAGTGTGTGTGTGTTTTTCTCTTCTCACCTAGGTCATATAACATTGATTTTGTTTTTTACAAAGTACTTGATTAAAAGCAGAGAAGTATTTCCAGCAGTAAGAGAATCAAGTCTTTAGCAGAAGCATGTACAGTGTAGAGCTGACCTACTGACAATAAGCAGTTGATTTTGGAAGAGGTGAAAAGCACCTTCTAAACAATTTAATGGCTGTTTTAGGGAGAAACACTTGAATGTTAATTGATACCACTTACTACCAAGGTGACCATAGGCAAGTTACTCTAACTTTCTGGGCCTCAGTTTCCCCTTCTGTAAAAAATTTTGGTCTTGGACTAGTTGATTTCTGAGGTCCCTTCTAAATCTCTGATCTAGGACACTGTGTTCTTATCTCATTTATATCCAAAAGCTGTGGTTCAGTAGAACTTTTCCCATCTAACTTGTCAACATTAATAGCTGGTTCTGGCTGACATCCCCATTCACAGTCAACTGAGAAGCCAATTGTGGGAGGTAAAAGTGGTGACCAAGTTGCTGGCTAGTGTCCAGGGTGCTCTTGGAAGAAGTTTGCATTTTTCTCCATCTGTCACGTATCAATGGTCTGTGAGTGAGCCCTCTTTACTTTTAGTTTTAACATCTACTTATTTTTTTTTCTTTTTACATCAGTTGAATACACTGTCCTTTGAAGCAAGTAGAGAAACCTCCTGGAGACACCAACAATCATGAACTGGAATAAAGTCAGAAAATGAAGCTAGTCACTTTTACTTGAGTGGAAAGGTTGCTATAGTAGGGCTTTATATTGCAGAAATAAAGAGTCTAATTTTCTTGTCCTGGGGAGTGTCCAGTTTAACCATTTCAGAGTGACCAAGCAAAACAGATTAATTGAACTAGCATAGATATGTAGGCTTTAAGACTCTTTTAAAGTCTTTCTTAAAAGTTGAAGGTTTTATTGATATATTTTCTTTTTTAATCCTTGGTTATTTCTTTTCTAATCCTTGTTTATTTCAACTAATACAACCATTAACCTCCCCCAGCCCACACAGAAACACATAGAACTCGTTCCCTTTTAAAAAAATAAACAAACAAAAAAAGTGAAGCTAAACTGTCAATGGAACAAGGATGGCTTTTAGAGTCAAAGGACCTAGCTGTAGATCCCAGCTCTATCACTTCCCATCGTGCTACGTGACATTGGTCAAGGCATAACTTCCCAGCCCTCAGTTGCTTATCTGTCAGATGAGGGAATGGAATGACCAATATTTTGCTCCCATTCCCCACCTCTAAGACAAATGGGTTTCACTATCTTTTCTCTGGGACCAAGATTGGTCATTTCAATTCATCTGAGTTCAGCCACCTTTCAAGACATTTCTTGTTTACATTACATTGTTCTGGTGCCATATGCTACGACCTTCAGGCTAACGAAGAACATTTTACAAACGTTTTTAAAATGGCCTGTTTAGTGTGTCCTAGTTCTACTCATTTTGCTGAGTATAACTGAGTCTACCAAATCAGTCCTTTGTAAACTGAAATTTTATTTCACACTCTGCTAAGTACTTACTAAAAATCATTGGGGGAGGGAGAGGGAAGCACATATGAAGACATGCTGCAGAAATATGGAAAAGCACCAGACAAAAGCCATATCCAAGGTTGTTTTAATTAGCTTGTTGCATTTATTTTGCTTCTTTTACATTACATAAGCCTATTCATGTCCTACTTCAGTGCCTTCTAATGGTTTGGAAGTAATTCTGGGTTTTTGGAAGACTGTGCCAGCAGAGTACCTGTTGCTAGTAAACTGGGCAGGCTCCAGTTATGTGTCCCATGATGGACTATTTGTCTGCTGTCTAGGGACACACCTCACTCCTTTTCTATAGTTTTCTGAGTGGAAGGACAGCCAGAAAGCAGGTGGTGAAATTTGGTGGCACAGCAATCCATGGAGATTATCTGCTAAGGTCTAGAACATGGTTTCTTTTTTTTTTTTAGGCAATTGGGGTTAAGTGACTTGCCCAGGGTCACACAGCTAGTGTCAAGTGTTTGGTCTGAGGCTGGATTTGAACTCAGGTCCTCCTGACTTCAGGGCCAGTGCTCTATCCACTGCGCCACCTAGCTGCCCCTAGAACATGGGTTCTGAACCTGGATTTCAGAGAATTCCAAGGAATCCATGGATATATTTCAGGAGGACCATGAATTATCATGGGAAAAAAATTACATCTTTATTTTCCCTAACTCCTACTGAAATTTAGCATTTGCCCCAATTATAAACAGTACCTGGGACTTTTTTTTTACCAATAGAAATCACAGATATTTTCACATTATATTACATTTGTTGCAGCTATCTCAAAAATATCATTTATGCTCATTTACTACTTTGAAATTACTGTAGTTATTTGACCTGCCATTAGATATATTATTCTATAATATTTTGATAACTAAACTATTTTGATAGTTATTTCAATATAATTGGTTTCTTTTACAGCCTTCTGTATTTTATTTTGTGTATTTAGAAACATTATTCTTAGAAGAGGTTGATAGGCTTCACTAGACTGCCAAAGGAGACATAACACAAAATGGATGAGCCCCTGGTCTAGAGGCAACACTTTGGCCTTTCTTTGTATCCTTAGGGCTTAGTGTAAATGCTTATTGCCTCTCTAGAAGAGCTGAGATTTGGGCCATTGAAGGTATTGTGCACATTTATGAAATCCTAGATTCTAAAAGGACAAATGTACCAATTTTCAAAGCAAAAGAAGAAGAAGAAGAAGAAGAAGAAGAAGAAGAAGAAGAAGAAGAAGAAGAAGAAGAAAGAAGAGGATAGGA